TATATATATATATATATATATATACATATATATACAATCAGCAGGCCTGATGATCCACTTAAAGAAACCAACAGCAGATAGAGTGGTAGTGGAAAACCAGTGACAGAAGGACGAAACATGATAAAAGGGACATCAGGCGACGACAGCAGGAGTAGTACTGACAACATCTTCACGTCACGACAGGCATGAAGGCTCTGCAGCGTATAGCAGCCACACTTTGATGCAGTTTCCACAGATACTCGGAAAAGAATTAACATTACAGCCATGAAATGATGATGGATTCTCTTCATGAATGTTTCATAAATCAGGGATGGGCGTATTATTCCCAATATAGCAATACCTGATGGTGCACATTTGAGTATCAAACCAACGAATTTAATACTCAAAAGATATTTCTTTAGATTAGCTGGTGTTGTTGACATTTGTGCCCCAAATACCAAATAAAACACAAAGTTTATTTAATGATCCCATCTTTTTGAACAACCTAATAATATTGAATTTATAATAACTCCCTAATAAATTATACATCGACAACTTGGTCGTTAACATCTGGTACACATTTTAAGGAGGAAGATCTTAACACTTTATGACTTGAAGCAGAGCATAATTTCCAAGGAATGCTACAGGTTTATGGTTAATGCCCATCCCTGACATGAACAGCCACGACACAGACACGATGGTGTGTTTATACCTCTCACGGTGTCGCGGGTACATTTTACAGCTCTCAGATACTTCTGCAGCACAACCAGAAGAAAGAAAGTTCACATTAATAAGTTAAATGGTAAATCCGTATAGCAAAGCAAAGCATTAGACTCATTATACGTTTTCTGGCACTAAATCTTCACATCAGTCCCTAACTTTCCCACAGAGAGCTGCTTCGCATTTTGAAGTGGCATTAATAGGATTTAGGTCAGATAGGCTTAGAAAGTGAAAAAACTTTGAGGTAAGAAAGAATACAGTTATAGCTTTTCTTTGATGTCTTTCAGAATATCAGAATAAATACCAAAGGATCAGACAATAAAAATGAAAGCTCCTCTTCAAAATTCAGCCTCTTTTTACAGATTATTTCTACATAACAAACTGTTTGAAGTAGTGGTTCTCAGTTCGAACTCTCCACCAAATCTTACACTGATATGCAGTTTAAGTTTAAAAATATGCAAATGTCTCCAATGGCATTTAGGTACACCTCTTTGACCTCATACAAAATAATAATATCGGTCTATCATATATCTTTAGCCAAATCATTCATAATAAAAAAGTCAGTTGCATTAAACCATACAGTTATCTTCTCCTGCTTAGACATCAGGGCCATGGGGCTGATCTCCAGCAGTCTATAGGGGAAAGGCAGGGACATCCTGGACAGGGCACCAGTCATCACAAAAAAAAAAAAGAGACACACATCCATATGCATCACAAAAAAAAAAAAGAGACACACATCCATATGCAAACATATGCACACACCCACACACACAATCCTAAGGGCAATTTAAAGTAACCAATGAACCTAGTGGTCATGTTTTTGGACTATGGGAGGAAGCAGGAGTACACGGAGAGAATCCACGCATGCAGCAGCAAACTCCATAAAGTAGGACTCCAGGAACCAACCAGCATTCTCTTGCTATAAGAACACAGTCTTAAAAACTGCACCTGTGATTCCTACATCTAAATGCAGTAGTTGGAGCGGACCAACATAAGAACTATAGATCAGTCCCTTCAATTTGAAAGGCATCTAATATTTATCTGACAACTGAACACAAAAGACTAAGATTGAACAGTGACAACAACTTTCTAGGATGGGGTCTTTAAATCCAGTCCTCCTGGTCTGGTGTCCTCCACATTTTAGATGGGTCTCTTCTTCCACACACCTGAATCAAAAGGCTTAATTACCTCCTCAGTATGCAGTGAAGTCCTCCAGAGTTCGGCTTGTGAACTGATTTTATCTTATTTGATTTTGTGTTGAAGCAGGGACACGTATAAAAGGTGCAGGAGAACAGACCTGGAGGACTGGATTTGAAGTTACCTGCTCTAGAGTGTGGAACTGCATGTTTCTGAGTGACTAAATGATATTCTCTGTATCCCTTAGGTGTTAAAGATGAAAAGATACACAGAGGTGAAAAGAGCAATATAACACTATTTTCTCAATATGCCAAGGCATATCTGTGAGGTGCAGATGGACGAGAGTAACAGTGTTGGACAGGAAACATGTTCATCCCTGGGTGTGATTCCTCTTTCCTATCGCACCAAAAATAACAACTTTAATGGCAGCTATACCAAATAGGTGATGATGTCATTCACTTTCTTATACAGTGAGAAATATGTTTTTGAACACCCTGCTATTTTGCAAGTTCTCCCACTTAGTAATCATGGAGGGGTCAGAAATTGTCATCGTAGGTGCATGACCACTGTTAGAGACATAATCTAAAAGAAAATCCAGAATTCACAATGTATAATTAGTATTATATTTTTTTAACTATTTATTTGTATGATAAAGCTGTAAATAAGTATTTGAACACCAGACTATCAGCTAGAAATATGACCCTGAAAGACCTGTTAGTCTGCCTTCAAAATGTCCACCTCCACTCCATTTATTATCCCAAATTAGATGCACCTGTTTGAGGTTGTTAGCTGCATGGAGACACCTGTCTCCCATTCAATCAGTACGAATCCAACCACTAACATGGCCAAGACCAAGGAGCTGTCCAAAGACACTTGAGACGCAATTGTACACCTCCAATAGCTCGGTACCATGTATTGCTAGATTTGGGGGAACAACTTCCTTCCCTCAGTAAGAGCATGTACCAAATTTTAACATTGCTTTTCAAAGGTGTTGCGGCCGTATAATACAATTAAATGGTTAAAAAATGCATACATTGTGATTTCTAGTTGGTTTTTTTTTTAGATTATGTCTCTCACGGTGGACATGAACCTACGACAACAATTTCAGACCTCTCCATGCTAACGGGGAGAACACTCAAAATAGCAGTGTGTTGAAATACTTATTTTCCTCACTTTAAATTGTTCTACCACAGCAAGTCAAGACAAGCCTCCAGCCGATCCAGGCTGTCAGAGAGTGAGAGAAAATTCAGCAGATAATAGGAAAGTTAAATGGAGTACTTCAAAATGGTTATGTTCTTTTTTTTTTAGCCTTTTTTGTCATATGGAATTGGTGAGGTCTTTTTGTAAATCTTACAGTTTCACAAAAGCATCAGGATGAAACCAGCTTTGCTGTGCGTAATCCTTTGTGTTTACTTGCTAACGTCTCTGTTATCATTGCAGTTTCTAAATCTTTATTATAAAAATCAGAATCTAAAATTTGGGAGTCGGCCACAGAAAACTTTACAGAAAACTCAAATCTGCAGCAAAATGATGTTGTGTGCATCTTTAATAAGAACTGTGTGGAAATCTGCTCAGAGCATTAAAGCATCTTGGCAGATAAATCCCACTTTGTTTATGAACCTGGAGCCCTTCTAACTCAAGGACTTCCTCTTTGTGTTGAGTTTTAAGGAGAGCTGCAGGCTGACAGCAGGGTACCGGCTCAGAAATTAAAGGAAGCATTTCCACAGAATCTCGCTTTCACCAGGACTAGAGGACCTATCCAGATAAAAATACAGAGTTAAAACTCAGTAAAAGCAAATGGGGGCCATCAGATCGGATGTTAAGCATTAAAAAATTTACCTTCTGCTATGTAGATCAATGCTGTTATTATTTGAGCTGATAAGAGTCCAGAGGGGTTTTTATTGGTACTGGACCACAGGATCAGGGCTACTGTGTTGATGTGATGCCTGCACTTGCACTTGGTGTGGCACATTGATACTAAGGTGTACTTAGTACTAAGCTGTAGTATTTTCAGTGTTATTCCTGTGTATGAAATCTATTTTGTACAGATGTTTCAAAGAATCAAAAGACTTTGCACAAATATGACTTTGATGCATACAATGCATAAACGTTTTTTCTTTGTTATCCTTAAATAACCATCACTAAAGTACCAAAATATTTAAAGATTAATCTATGACTCCTTTTGTTATCCTTAGGTTTTAGATATGGTGAAAGCATTTTAGCTGGGGGAAGGTTAAATGTAGATTTTTTTCAGTCAGACCAAACTGGGAATAGGTGTACTCCAAGTTATCAAATGTCAATTATACTTGACAAAAGTTGGGAATGTGTCAAAATCTCAGTATTTTCAGTGTTTTGTTGTTGTTGTTTTTTTGTTCTATTTTTACCAATTACAAGTATATTTTTATTTTCCTCTTCAGCTACATAGAAAAATTCTCCTAATTTTGATTTTATTAAAAAATGTTAGCTTTTCCCATTTTGCCCACCACTTGAGACCTTAATTATCACCTAAAATAAGTCAGGCAAAAAAATCTTTAATTACGGTATAAACAGAGAATCACTTAGAAATCTATGATTTTTTTATTTATTTATTGGTTTAATTGCGTCTTGAAGATATTGACTTTTGAATGTATTGCTAGCAGAAATCTCAAAGTTAACTGGAATCTGTAAAAAAAAAAAAAAAGATTTTCCAGTTCTGAATCAATTCTAATATTCATTTCTAAAGATCCATTCATGAAACCAAAGATTGACTCTTAAAACAATGGTTTCTAAATTGTGCTTACAGCCAGCATTAACTACCACTACTTTATTAGTTGGCTTTAGAATATTAATAATAATCAATATGTTGCATAAATACACAGTCATGAAAAATATAAGACCAGTGATCCAATTTGAGATCGGACCGAAATGAATCAGATCAGATTGACAGATTCTAAATCCTGAGATTTGATTTATTTCAATGTTTGAAATCTGAATCTACTCAGCCCACGGGTTAACATAAAATCTACTCTACATCACACAGAGAGAGAAAGATATGCGAACCTCAATAACTATGATGCCAGGATTCTACTGCACAGTTAGTTGGTTTTCTAACTTAGTTAAAACCAGTGTGGCTGCAGAGCTGTGTGTCACTCCAACTACCTTCCCTTTTAACATCACCTGTCCCTGTTTAAACTGTCATCAATCACTCATAATAGAAAGGCAACTTAGAACTTTTTAGTTGCAATATATGAATTAACATCACTTAACAGTGACCAAGAGCCCTTTTTTCTCTATTATTAAGTTGGTGGCTGCCATACCTATTTTTCTATCAATCAATCAATCCATCAATCAATCTTTATTTATGCAGTCGTATTAAACACAGTAAAGTGACCAAAGCATTAAGTAATAATGCTTTTAATAAGCATTAAAATACAATTTCACAATGATAATAAATAAATCAATAAAAAAAAACAGAATTTACTATAAAATAAACACAGGCCTAACCATCAACCTCCAAATATCCAGAATTCCATGATTCACTATAATTTTATTTAACAAGGGATTACCTTTGTCTCTTTTAGAGTTGTGTGCATTGATTTATTTTGTTGGCTAATATAGAAGCATAACAGAATAAAAAGCAATGAAAAAGTTCAGTTCCTACTAAAATTCTGAAAAATAGTGTTCTGGCAAACTTTATGGACCAAAAAAAACTTTATATTCTTCTCATAGAAAAACTGCATACAGTATTCAGTGTGTCTGGCTTTTCCAAGTGTGCAAAAAACAAAACAAAAAGGAAAACACCAGTGAGCTATAAAGAGTCCTGTTGCAAGGGAGATCTGTTAGGATGGATTTTATTGGTATGGATGCTTCTCTTCAATAATCTGGAAAATTTTACACGTCTATTTTGCTATAAATATTTTGACAGTGTTTTTAATTTATCCAAAAACTACAAAATATTAGCTTTTTTGCTTATTTTCAGGAGCAATTAGAATGGGCAGAAGAAGATATTAACCTGTTTTTCTGTCATTATCAAAATATATATGTTCATTTTTGTAAAAAAAAAAAAAAAA